GCGGCATCCTAACATGGCGGAAGGTATCACGTGACAGGAGCAGGCTCCCGAGAGGGAACAAGAAAGGGCCGGACTGGCTTTTATAACAAACCCACTGTTGCAATAGTGACATTAAATCTGTTCATGAGCGCTGAGGTTCTGAAAGACCCCACCTCTCAACATGTTGCACTGGGAATTACGTTTCCAGCACATGAACTTTGAGGTACACGTTGAAACCATAGCAGCCCTGCAGTGGGACGCTTGATTCTCTCTCATGGGTACTGTCAGAATCCCTAGGGTGGGTCTTAGGCTCTGTATTTAAAAATACGTTTTTGTGTATGTGTGCGCCATGTATAACTGTAGCATTGTTCCAGATCTGGGCTTCTCGGCTCTTTTCAGACCCAACTCCCGTTTGTATGAGAAATACTTTTATTGCCCTCTCTACTGTCTTGAAATTATACAGGTAATGCAATGTATCTAGTTACATATTTTCAAAACATTAATATAGTGCCAAAATTGGAATATAAGGAAAAAGAAAATTAAAACCTATGATAAAATAATATGTATTTTAGTATGTAAATGCTGAGGTATGATTAGACTGGAAGACATCATTAGTCACATATTTGCACCTATACATAGAGTCACTGTGAGAAGGGAAGTAGAGATGCGGGTCAGAAGGCGTGCTGTATTGGTAATTCACATATTCTAAGTGGTGTTGCCTTCAGTGATATGACTTTAATTGAGTAATTTAGGTAAAATTCTTAAAATACAGTCTTCCTTTGATTTACCTAGAAAATTCAGTGCTGTTAGGATTATGTAAAAACAAGCTCTTTGTTTTTGAATGTAAAAGGAGATTTAGTTCTAGGCTAAGACAATTATAAACGAGTGTTCCACCTTCATAGAATTTGGTAGGACACTTAAAAGTTGCATTGGAGCTGGGCGCGGTGGCTCACGCCTGTCATCCCAGCACTTTGGGAGGCCGAGGCGGGTGGATCACCAGGTCAGGAGATCGAGACCATCCCGGCTAACACGGTGAAACCCTGTCTCCACTAAAAATCCAAAAAAACTAGCCGGGGGCAGTGGCGGGCACCTGTAGTCCTAGCTTCTCGGGAGACTGAGGCAGGAGAATGGCAAGAACCCGGGAGGTGAAGCTTGCAGTGAGCTGAGATCCGGCCACTGCACTCCAGCCTGGGCGACAGAGCGAGACTCCGTCTCAAAAAAATAAAAATTAAAAAAAAAAAGTTGCATTGGATTTGGATAATTCTTAATTTTGTAGGACTGTCCTACACAGAACGTCTGGCTCCTTTGGTTCGTGCTCATTAAGTGCCTATAATTTTCCGTAAACATTGTGACAAATAAAAATACCCCCATAAATTTCTCAAACAACCCTCAAGATAGGCGTCACTCCCATTGAGAACTACTGATGTGGTTCATTAGTTTATGTTGTGAACTGTTATAAATACTATAAAATACATTATGAAAATGTATACATTCTGAAGTTGTTTTTTGAGTCATGCATGCACTGAAAGAATTGTGTTATAGATGTCATTTCCTTTTTTTTATCATAAAACTCTTGTCTCCTTTTGTTTTTGCTTCTTAATGCAATATTTTAATTTCCTTTGTCTCTCAAGCCAGTTTATGCTTATTGTACATCATTGTTAATTTTCAGTTATGATAACAGAAAATACAACAGCCAATGTTATCAGCAAAATCTTAATTATATCCTGTATTGGAAGTAGTGTAAGAAAATAGGAAAAAATGTAAATCACGATGGTTGTCTTTTGAGAAATTGGCAAATATATATGACAAATGTGTCATTGAGGTCTTGACCAAGGTTGGTTTGTTGAGTGAAGACAATGCCTTTTATTTTTGTATGATTGTCACGTTTTGCTTCAAAGTCGAAAGGGGCTGCATACAAAGAGTTCTCTGTAAGCCTTTTCTGTGGAATGCTTCTATTTGTAGCCCTTATGGTGAGATATGATAGGTGAAGCTGAATGATAAATTTTAGCAGTTAATGTTATAAAAAGAAAAGGAATGGGCTGATACGTGGTACCATATTACAGACCAATTTTAAGTGGTATGATTGCTTTCTCTATTTATACCTAAATGATCTGATTTGGCTTTTAGATGGAAATAATGAACATATTTTTGCTGAAGCAAATGAGAAAATGAGTATATTTTCAGGCAATGATCTAGGAATAAGTTTAAGAAACATTTTGTCTAGTTTCTAGTTATTGTTGAGAAATAAGAGCTCAATATCAATTATGTTAAGGACCTAAAGTTGTTTTAACAGGAATTTCCCAAAATTTGGATGTTTAATTCCAAATGTTGTCATCTAACTGATGAGTTGTTTTTTATCTGGTGTACATTTTGTAGTTATTTCACCCTGGTAAGCTGTCAGGAGGCTGAGCTGCTCAATTAGGTTTTAACAGAGGGGTTATGGCTAATCTCTTGTAGCTAAAATGAGCATTGATTAAAATCTGCTCTTAAGCTCTTTTGCCTCAAATTATCTCTGCCTTGTTTTGCTGAGTGCGAGCCCTGTTCAGCTGGACAGAGGCATTTGAACAGAGCCTAAGGTACTTTCTGATAGACCCATTGGTACTGTGTTATCTGTTCCTGCCTACACACTGTGTCCAGGAGAGCATCTGACAGGTTTCTCAGCTTCTAGAATCAAAGGAAAACTTCCGCCAAACTTATGATTCTCCCTTCTATCAGTGAAAAACCAAAAAGTCCACACTCTTGTTTCTTGTGAGTGCAAATGAATGTAAATTTGTTAGCTTAACCCACTCACATGCAAAGACCGGGTGAAAAAAAAATGTGTATGTATATATATATATATATATATATATATATATATATAGGTATATCTGAGTCAACCTAACTTCCTAAAGAGTGACAATAACAAGCATGGGAAACTGTGTTAAATAATTTATACACGTTTCTTTAGTGCATTTAGAACTTTTAGGATGCTAAGTATATTTTGAATCTCTAAATAGGGTCAACATGATATTGTGTTTTTAAAACTTACTTGACAATTGTACCATATATATTTTAGGCCTCTTAACACATATTGGTAGTTGCTAATTGCTAGTCCGGGACTAGCCCCCTAATCAACAGAAGCTTGTTGTTTCACTGAGTTGTCTTTTAATATTATGCTTTTCAGTGAGTACTGATATTAAGAGTCATATGAAAGGCCATTATAGTTGTGAGCTGTTGTTAAGGACATTGTTCAGTGTGTTGATTACCATTCTTGGAATAAATCCCTCCTGTGATTGAATCTTGGTGAAACTATTTGTTTTTACTTTCTGTCAGTTGAGAATTACATAAACCATCATGCCTTCTTTTTTGCCTTGCTTGTGAGGCAACTCAAATAAATGTACAAACACTCAAATGTAATGCACAAATTATTCAGCTCTCATGTTTAGCATGCTAAGAATTTTTACTCTCTTTATATTTAGACAGTCTGATAGTTAGATATCAGCTTTTGAGCCTTTCTTTATCTCTAATAGAGGGATAATACCTACCATTTAGATTATTATGAAAATCAAATGAAACGTGCTTTGTTACTTGCTTAGTCATGTGTCTAGTACCTTGTAGAATGCTAAGTAGATGCTAGCGTGCTTTCCTTTTTCCTCCTTCCATAATTTTAATATTTTCTGTTTCTGGTTTTGCAGTCTTAGTTCATACACATCTTCACTTTGATTCAGCTCGGTCTTGTTTAGAAGTGAGTGAAGTGTAAATACCAAAACAAAAGTTACGAACAGCACATTGAGAGCGTTGTCACAGAGGAAGTGAGGCAACCGTGAGTAGCATTGATGGAAGGAGTGACACACCTGTTAGAAACAACGTCTCCACCATTTGGGTTGCTAAGAAATAGAAGACAGACCAAGCTGTTACCCAGCAAGTTGACATGGATAGTCGTTCTGAGCAAAATACTGGCTTGACATTGAACCTGAGTCACAGTTTTGAAGTAGCTGCAGCTCTTGAAACTTTTGGTTGTGCTGTATGTTTCTACTGCAGGTGGAAGTGACAGCAGTCCCTTTAAGGAGGATTTTATAGACCCAGAAATTGGGGAGCAGATTTCTAATTTTTGAAATAAGAATGAGTAGGGGTATCAGGCATTTCAGTAATGGAAATTCCAGTTTTCAGAATATAACGTGAGAGACATTTGATTGAGGCTGCTTCTCACCAGGGCTACATATTAGAGGACCTGGATTTTATTTCCATATGAAAGTGATTCTGTGTGAAAACAGCCATGGCCTTTCTGATCCAAAGCTCAGGGATATCAGTCCGTTCATCCGTACACTGGCAACTGACTCAGTGGTCTCTTTAGCCAGACCAGCACACGGCTAGGATCATGGCTTAGGTGACCCTATCTTTTGTCATCAAAACCAGAACTTTTCAGAGTGAAAAGGGGCACTATTAATATTTAAGCCAGGACATAGATACAAACCTAGACACATCCAGGACAAACTGGACATGTCATGATTTTAGCGAACAGCTCTTTTTATGTTGCTTTTAAAACAAAGAGGTTTTATATTTGGGGGTATGTTAGCCCTCCTGATATTTCTGTAGCAGCACAGAAATTCAGAAGGCTGTCATCCCTGTTTTGAGTCTTCTGAACCATGTGTTTTATTTTCTAATTTGGAGTAACATTTTCTTTTTGTATTCAAAATGATTATTGTTGAATCCTGTGTAATCAGTTCAAAGACCATCTTATACATTATTAAGTAAGCTAGAATGGCTCTTTCTTTGGGCTCCACTAGCCAGGTTATAACCAGGGGACAAATGAAAGCACAGAGGTGAAGCTGAAGCTTTTAATGTCCTTGCATAGTAATTGCATACTTGGCAAAGACTCATCCTGGATTATTTTCAGATTTAGAATATTGCTTTTATTTTCTATTGTGCAGTTACATTTTGACTATTAAAATTTAATGTTCATGACTCTCGATGTTCAAAAGCAGTATAAATGAAAGTTAAATTTTAGGTCACCTATGTTCTCCCCACTCTTGTCTTAATAGAAAAAAGCTTGGCCGGACCACAAACGGGAATGCAAATGCCTTAAAAGCTGCAAACCCAGATACCCTCCAGACTCCGTTCGGCTTCTTGGCAGAGTTGTCTTCAAACTTGTGAGTATAAAACTCATGAAACATAGCTGGGTTTTGATTAAATGAGCATATGCAGTTGCATTTTCAGGTATACCTCAGAGATGTTGCAGGTTCAGTTTCAGACCACCACAATAAAGCAAATATTGCAATAAAATGAGTCTCACAAATTTTTTGGCTTCCCAGTAAATATAAAAGTTATGTGGACATTACACTGTAGTCTGTTAAGTATGCAATAGCATTATGCCAACAGAAACAGTGTACATACCTTAATTAAAAAATACATTTCTAAAAGTGCTAAGGATCGTTAAAGCCTTCAGTGCATCATCATCTTTTCGCTGGTGGATGTTGATGGCTGCTGACTGATCAGGTGGTGGTTGCTGAAGTTTGGGGTGGCTGTGGCAATTTCTTAAAATAAGACAACAGTCGAATTTGCCGCCTTGATTGCCTCTTCCTTTTGCAAATGATTTGACTGTAACATATGATGCCTCACAGCAGCATCACCCGGAGTAGGTTCCATCTCAAGAAACCACTTTCTTTGTTCATTCATAAGAAACAACTCCTCATCTTTTCAAGTTTTATCATGAGGTTGCAGAAAATCAGTTACTTCTTCAGGTTCTACTTCTCTCTGTTTTACAAAACGTTTTAGCTTCTGTTTTAGATTCAGGGGTACATGTGCAGATTTGTTGCATGGGTGTATTGCATGATGCTGAGGTTTGGGGTATGATGGATGCCATCACTGAGGTAGTGAGCATGGTACCCAGTAGCTAGCTTTTCATCCCTTGCCCACTTCCTGCTCCTTACCTGCCCCTTGCATCCCCCAGTGTCTGTTATTCCCATCTTTGTGTCCATGTCCACCCAATATTTAGCTCTCAGTTATAAGTGAAAACCTGTGGTATTTGGTTTTCTGTTTCTATGTTAATTCACTTAGGATAATGCCCTCCAACTGCATTCATGTTGCTCCAAAAGACATGACTTCACTCTTTTTAATGGTTGCATAATATTTCATAGTGTTTATGTATCACATTTTCTTTATCCATTTTACTGTTAATGGGCACCTAGATTGATTCCATGCCTTTGCTATTGTGAAAAGCACTGTGATGAACGTATGAGTACATGCATCTTTTTGGTAGAGTGACGTATTTTCCTTTGGATATATACCCAGTAATGGGATTGCTGAGTTGAATGGTAACTCTCTGAGAAATCTCCAAACTGCTTTCCACAGCAGCTGAATTAGATGACATTCCCACGGACAGTTGACAAGTGTTCCCTTTTCTCTGCAGCCTCGCCAGCCTGTGTTATTTATTTATTTATTTATTTTTTGAGATGGAGTCTTGCTCTGTCACCCAGGCTGGAGTGCGGTGGCGCGATCTCCACTCACTGCAAGCTTCGCCTCCCAGGTTCACACCATTCTCCTGCCTCAGCCTCCCGTGTAGCTGGGACTACAGGCGCCCGGCACCTCGCCCGGCTAGTTTTTTGTATTTTTAGTAGAGACGGGGTTTCACAGTGTGAGCCAGGATGGTCTCAATCTCCTGACCTTGTGATCCACCCGTCTCGGCCTCCCAAAGCGCTGGGATTACAGGCGTGAACCACTGCACCTGGCCCTGTGTTATTTTTTGATTCAATAATAGCCACTCTAACTGGTATGAGATGGTGTCTCGTTGTGGTTTTGATTTACACTTCTCTGATGATTAGTAACGGAGAGCACATTTCCTATGTTTTTTGGCCACTCGTATGTCGTCTTTTGAGAAGTGTCTGTTCTTGTCCTTTGCCCACTTTTTATTTTTACTTTTTGAGACAGGGTCTCACTCTGTTGCCCCAGGCTGGAGTGCAGTGGCGTGATCATGGCTCACTACAGCCTCAACCTCTGGGGCTGAAGCAATCCTCCTACCTCAGCTTTCCGAGTAGCTGGGACCACAGGTTCCCACCACGCCCAACTAGTTTTTGTGTTTTTTCCTTTTTTTTTTTTTTTTGGAAAGACGAAATTTCATCATGTTTCCCAGACCAGTCTTAAACTCCTGGGCTCAAGAAATTCTCCCACCTTGGCCTCCCAAAGTGCTGGGATTATATAGGTGTGAGCCACTGTCGTGGCCCTTTGTCCACTTTTTAATGAGGTTGTTTGTTTTTTACTTGGTGAATTGCTTAAGTTCCTTATAGATGCTGGATATTAGACCTCTGTTGGCTGCATAGTTTGTGAATATTTTCTTTGATTCTATAAGTTGTCTGTTTATCTGTTGCAAGTTTTTTTTGCTGTGTGGGAGCTCTTTAGTTTAATTAGGTCCCACTTGTCAATTTTGTTTTTGTTGCAATTGCTTTTGAGGACTTCAGTCATAAATTCTTTCCCAGGACTCATGTATAGAAAGGTATTTCTTAGGTTTTCATCTTGATTCCAGTTCCTTTGTTCTTTCCATCACATCTACAGTTTCTTTCTTTGTTTCAGTTCCTTTTTTCTTTCCATCACATCTACAAATACTTCCTCTACTGAAGTCTTGACCCCTCAGTGTTATCCACGAAGGTTGAAATCAAGTTCTTCTGAACTCTGGTTCATGTTGATGTTTGACGTCCCATGATTTACAAATATTCTTAATGGCATTTAGAATTGTGAATCATTTACAGAAGGCTTTAAAATTTACTTTGTCCAGATCCATGAGAGGAATCAATATTTGTGGCAGCTATAGCCTAATGGAATACAGTTTTAAAATAAGACTTGAAAGTCAAAATGATTCCTTGATTCATGGGCTGCAGCATGACGGTCGTGTTAGCAGGCATGAAAACGACATTTGAGTTTTTAAATATCTCTCTTAGAGCTATTGGGTGACCAGATACATTGTCAATGAGCAGTAACATTTTAAAGGGAATCTTTTTTACTGAGCAGTAAGTCTCAACAGTGGACTTAAAATATTCAGTAAACCACGCTGTAACAGATGTGCTGTCATCTACGCTTTGTTGTTCCATTGGTAGAGCACAGGCGAAGTAGATTTACCACAAATAGTAAGGGCCCTTGCATTTTAGGAATGGTAAATGAGCCCTGGCTTCAACCTAAAGTCCCCAGCTGCATTAGTCCCTAAAAAAAGTCCACTTGCCATTACTGGGTATATACCCAAAGGATTATAAATCATGCTGCTATAAAGACACATGCACACGTATGTTTATTGTGGCACTGTCCACAATAGCAAAAGCTTGGAACCAACCCAAATGTCCGTCAATGACAGACTGGATTAAGAAAATGTGGCACATATACACCATGGAATACTACGCAGCCATAAAAAGGATGAGTTCATGTCCTTCATAGGGACATGGATGCAGCTGGAAACCATCATTGTCAGCAAACTATCACAAGGACAGAAAACCAAACACCGCATGTTCTCACTCATAGGTGGGAATTGAACAATGAGATCACTTGGACACAGGAAGGGGAACATCACACACCAGGGCCTATTTTGGGGGGGGAGGGGGAGGAATAGCATTAGGAGATATACCTAATGTAAATGATGAGTTAATGGGTGCAGCATACCAGCATGGCACATGTATACATATGTAACAAACCTGTAAGTTGTGCACATGTACCTTAAAGTATGATAACAATAAAAAAGAGTCCACTTGTTCTTTGAAGCCAGGCATCGAATTCTCTCTAGCTATGAAAGTCCTAAATGACATCCTCCAATATAAGACTGTTTCATCTACATTAAAAATCTGTTGTTTAGTGTAGCCAAATTCAGTTATTTTTGTCAGGTCTCCTGGATCATTTGCTGCAGCTTCTATATAGCACTTGCTGCTTCACCTTGCACTTTTTTAGATTACACATGTATGCATGTATGTATGTATGTTTTGAGATGGAGTCTTGCTCTGTCACCCAGGCTGGGGTGCAGTGGCGTGATCTTGGCTCACTGCAACCTCTGCCTCTTAGGCTCAAGTGATTCTCCTGCCTCAGCCTCCTGAGTAGCTGGGACTAAAGGCACCCACCACCATGCCAGGCTAATTTTTTTGCACTTTTAGTAGAGACAGGGTTTTACCATGTTGGCCAGGCTGGTCTCGAGCTCCTAAGCTCAGGTGATCTGCCCGCCTTGGCCTCCCAAAGTGCTGAGATTATGGGCGTGAGCCACCGCACCTGGCCACCTTGTGCTTTTATGTTATGGAGATGGCTTCTTTCCTTAAACCTTATGAACCAACCTCTGCTAATTTCCAGCATTTCTTCTGCAATTTTCTCCCCTCTCTGAGCCTTCCTAGAATTGAAGCAAGTTAGGGCTTTCCCCTGGATTAGGCTTTGGCTCATGGGAATATTGTGGCTGTTTTGATCTTCCATCCAGGCCACTCAGACTTTCTCTAGATCAGCAATAAGACTGTCGTGGGTTCCTATCACTCATGTGTTCATGGGAGTAGCTCTTTTCATTTTCTTTCAGAACCCTCCCTTGTATTGACAACTTGGCTGTTTGGTGCAAGAGGCCTGACTTACGGTCTATTATCAGCTTTCAGTATTTCTTTCTCACTAAGCTTACTCATTTCTAGCTTTTGATTTCAAATGAGAAATGTGCGACTCATCCTTTCACTTACAGGTCATTGTAAAGTTATTAACTGGCCTAATTTCAATATTGTTGTGTCAGAGAATACAGAGGCCTGAGGAGAGGGAAGAGATAGGGGAATAGCCAGACAGTGGGAAGAGCCGGTCGGCAGAGCAGTGAGAACACATACAACGTTTACTGATTAAGTTTGTGGTCTTATATGGGGATGGTTTGTGGTGCCCCAAAACAATTACAGTAGTAACATCAAAGATCTCTGATCACAGGTCACAGTAACAGATATAATAATAAGAAAAAGTTTGAAATACTGTGAGAATTCCAAAATGTCACACATAGACAGAAAGTGAGCACATGTTAGAAAAATGGCATCGATAGACTTGCTCGATGATGTAAATCTTCAGTGTAATGTCTGAAAAGCACGATAAAGTGAAGTATGAGAAAATGAGGTATGCCTGTGTTATTCCTATTTAAGTCTGAAATTAACCCCATGTTAAGGTAGAAGGTAGATTATTCCAGGGAATGTCTTAAGACAAAAAAATTTGTTCTTTTCCTGTTAATAACGGAATCCGTAGCAGTGAAGAAATGCACAGCCTCTCTGAAGGCCCTGCTGTCTTCTTGTGGGAATAAAGATGGAGGAGGTTCTGTATTTGCGATATGAGATGGCAGTAATCTCTGTTACATTGCCGTTATAACTTGTCTATTGTGAACTAATGCACAGGGCAAGTATGTCATTTTCTACTTGCCTCTTCAAGAAAGACATGCATAGATAATTAGTATGAACTGGAAGAGTACTTATCTTTTTTTTCCTAGAATTCATTGAAGTGATTTCTTCGGCCCTTTTTCATAAGTGGCAAAATAGTAAACTCTGTGAAATCCTGCTGTGGTGAAGCCTTTCAGATTTTTTTACCCATCTTTAGCGTGAATATCTTTCTCAAATTATTGTAGGCTCCCAATTTGTTCTTCCCTTTTTTTTCTTTTTTGAGACAGGGACTTGGTCTGTTACCCAGGCTGGAGTATAGTAGCATAATCACAGCTCATTGCAAGCTTGAACTGCTGGGCTCAAGTGATCCTCCCTCCTCAGCCTGCTGAGTGGCTGGGACTACAGGTGCATGCCACCATGCCTGGATAATTTCTGTATGTTTTGTAGGCATAGGTTTGCCATGTTGCCCAGGCTGGCCTTGGACTTCTGGGTTAAAGCAATCTGCCTGCCTTGGCCTCCCAAAGTACTGGGGAAAATTATAGGTGTGAGCTCCCATGCCCCACCTTTTCCTATTGTTTACTGACTCTTGGCCAGTATACAATTTTATAGAGAGTTTTACGAATATAAAAATATGGGAACTTCTTGTACAACAGTTTTGCATTTGGAGATTAAACTGTTGAGTGAAGATACAAGTTAGATTTTTATTTTATATTGGAACAGTTGAAATTGTCATTGGCGTTTTTCCCCTTTCCTTCACAGATGGATGGAACGCCTTCAGAATCAGAGAAGCTTTACTCATTTTATGATCTGGAGTCAAGTAAGTGATTATCTGTCAGCATCTTAAAAAAAATTTCTATGATTTGTTTGCTGACTTGGTGAACGGATTTATTTTTATCTTTGTTTTTCTGTTTCTTTATAATGTGATGCAAACCTGACAAGATTTATTTTTATATACAACTGTCATGCTGGTTTATTCCACTTATCATGGAGTAGCTCTGTCCTGATAGGGGTTAGTAAAGCGCCATAAAGATGTTCAGGTTAGATAGGGTAGTGTAACTGTTAGTCCAGTTGACGAAATCTTTTTTTTTTTTTTTTTTAGACTCCAGCCCAGGCTGGAGTGCGGTGGTGTGATCTCAGCTCACTGCAAGCTCTGCCTCCCGGGTTCACACCATTCTCCTGCGTCAGCCTCCTGAGTAGCTGGGACTACAGGCGCCCACCACCACACCTGGCTAATTTTTTTGCATTTTTAGTAGAGACGGGGTTTCACCGTGTTAGCCAGGATGGTCTTGATCTCCTGACCTCGTGATCCGCCCGTCTCAGCCTCCCAAAGTGCTGGGATTACAGGCGTGAGCCACCACACCCGGCCAACAAAATAATTTTTCTTGTTTTTTTTTTCCTTCCTGTTTCCCTTCTTCTCTCTCTTAATTTCCTGTTCTGGTTTCTTTTTGATGTCAGAGAAGAGTGATTTAGTGAACAGGGGGATTCCACGGAGCTTTTAGGGTTACTGATCTTTTAGATATTAAGGAAGGTAAAATGTACAGATGATTCAGTCTCCAGGGCAGTGTTGAGCATCGTTCTTCTCCGAAACTACCATGTAGCTATCCACCTTCTTGGGAGGACTTAAAAAGCTTCCCATATCTGAGTGTTAAGCAAAGGCAGGCTTCATTTTGCTTTTGTATTGGTACAGATCCTTTTCATTGAGGTTGTAAGTGATTTCAACTCAAAACTAGCCAGGGCACATAGAGTAAATTTGCTGCACAGTTCAATTCTTCTGGATGGAGACAAGAAGATGAACTAGTACAGACTTATATAAGGTTGTGGGATCCTAAGTTCCCATGAAAATAAATTATTATTTAAGAAATCATTGGGTTAATTATTCTGTCAAATAAGTAATCTAATGAATATGCATAGGCATAAGCAACAGAGTTATGCTATAGTTCAACTTGATGTATCTTTTCAAGTTTTAAAAGACAGCAAAGTATTCAAATTTTCCTGTTATATTTTACTGCTAGATAATTAACATCTGTTACCGTGGGTTTTGCTCTTCACATTAGCCCTTCTCAGTAATAGTGTCATACACATGACCTTAAGTGAAATACTCTCAAACGTTAGTGATTGACCTGTTATATACTTTTAGCCTTAACACCCCATTTGTGGTATAATTGAAAATGATATTTAAAGGGGGTAGTATTGGCTTTAGAACTGTTTTTTTCTTCTTTTGTTTTAGAACCATCTCCTTCTGTTTGGAGTGATGCCACACCATATCTTGTTTTTTGTCTTTGTTTTCTTTTTTTTTTTTGACATGGAGTCTCTCTTTTTGTCCAGGCTGGAGTGCAGTGGTGTAATGTTGGCTCACGGCAACCTCCACCTCCTGGGTTCAAGTGATTCTCCTGCCTCAGCCTCCTGAGTAGTTGGGATTATAGGCACGTACCACCACGCCCGGCTAATTTTTGTATTTTTGGTAGAGATGGGGTTTCACCACGTTGGTCAGACTGGTCTTGAACTCCTGATCTCAAGTGATCTGCCTGCCTCAGCCTCCCAAAGTGCTGGGGTTACAGGCATGAGCCACTGTGCCGGGCTCCTTTATCTTGTTTATTCAGCTCAGATAACTTGAAGTTGAAATTGCTTTGCTTGATCCCTGTTCTATTCATGCTGTACTAACCACATGACAAATTTAACCTATTTGAACTTTATCTGAACTTCTTAGTTCTCATTTTCTGTCTTTTTACCTTAGAGGTGGTGCTATTTATTAGTTTAGTCATGACCTAGTTGTAAATTATTTCATAGAAAAGTCTGCTTAACTTTACTGACTTAATATGAACTTATAATTGTTTGTATGTGTGTACAGAATGATATAGAAAATCTGGTAACACACAAGCTTACTGATTTTGGTTTTAATGCTTTTTCATATATATGCACACTTATGTTTTGATAGGTGTTTGATCTTACGCTGCAGACAAAATTTGGCAGAATTTAATTGATAACATATGCATCATTTTTAGTTGGCAAAAGATAAAACAATATGTATTTGCTCTTTGTCAGAATGCAATGTAAGGTAGGAAATATCTGGTTTAACAGCCAGCATTGAACACTTTAAAATTATCCTTTAAAAGTTTACTTTGAGATTGTGCTATTTATTTTCTCTTTAAAAAAGATATTAACAAACTGACTGAAGATAAGAAAGAGGGCCTCAGGCAACTTGTAATGACATTTCAACATTTCATGAGGGAAGAAATACAGGATGCCTCTCAGCTGCCACCTGCCTTTGACCTTTTTGAAGCCTTTGCAAAAGTAAGTGTTAAGTTTGCTCTCTTTGCTAATTCCATACATCAGCCATTCGCTCCTGATTTTGTCGTTGGTTACAAAAATGTCGAGAATCTTGACAGGAAGTTCAAGACCCTTAATGCCTTGTATTACTCCCTTATCATAGTGAGTAGAGAATGAGAGAATGTATTGTGTGCATTGAAAAGGGTATGAAGTTTTCTGTTTTATTAATATTCTTGTTATTGCCTGAGTATGTTCATTGTCAGTTCTCAAAGTGTACCCTTGGAAGAAAGAGCATGCTTTCTTTTCTCAGAAGAGCATATCCCATTATTTTTTGTGAATGGACTTGTTTGCCATTGCATTGCATTCATTGAGCTTTACGGTGGTGGTTTAAGCATAGAGCCTGTCTTTGAAAAGAAAAATTTATTGAAATCCATTTCTTTTCTTTTCTTTTTTGTTTTAAGACAGAGTTTCGCTCTGTCGCCCAGGCTTGAGTGTAGTGGCACGATCTCGGCTCACTGCAATCTCCGCTTCCCAGAATCAAGCGAGTCTCATGCCTCAGCATTCCGAGTAGCTGGGATTACAGGCGTGAGCCACCACGCCCAGCTAATTTTTTTTTCTGTTTGGAGAGACGAGGTTTCACCATGTTGCCTAGGCTGGTCTTGAACTCCTGACCTCAGGTGATCCACCCACCTTGGCCTCCCAAAGTCCTGGGATTACAGGGGTGAACTACCATGCCCGGCCTCCTGAAGTTTTTTTTAAAAAATGATTCCGAGGGTTTATCTTGGCCTACGGAGGAAGAGCGCGATGATTGATTCTTTTTTTTTTTTCTTTTCTTCACGAGCCCGTAGGTATGAAATGATTGATTCTTGATGTTTACCCTGGGATAGGGATGACAGAAACACTCCCCTCACTGCTATGGATCTGCTGTCCTCGCTTTCTCATATCGTGTGTTTGCATTTGTTTTAACGTTGATCACAATTTAATAACAAGTAAAACTTTACTTTTGACAATTTTGCCACTTATTTTGTAATTTGTAAGCACACATTTAAAGATAGATTTATGCCATTAATATTTTAAGGCATGTTTTAAAATTTACTGTTTTCTGAAAAATTAAATGTAATTGGTTTGATTGCTGGAGATTGATTCTAGGTTTTCTCAAACGTATTTTTATTCTGTATGGTACATTTTTATGATTTTCTGATTAATGTCATCTTAGCATTATATTCTGGTTTATCTATAATTTAAAATTGATTTCAAAATTTATTGGTTACTTACAGTGCATCTGAAAACTTCCTCATGTATTTCATATGCTTCTGAAAATTATAACCTATAGGAGTATCGTGTACAGTGCACAAGGCTCTTTTCTTGTTAAACACTACAAACATGATCACCTACTGAAAGACAAAAATATACCTTGTGATGATTATTACCTCATTACTAGTGTTAAGTTTGTGGTTATTCTGTGGTAATTATTTCTATTGTTGGAAAATGTTCTAGTGATAACTACTGATGTTATTAATATCCATGAGAAATATTTTAAAATACTTTCTATTGCTACATATAAAATGTGAATTACTATCCCAGTTCTTCTTTCTAAAGATTTTAGTCTCATGTATTTTATAATGAAATTTTTTCCGTGTTGTATGGGGGAAATTCTGTTGCTGTGATTAAGTGGACCAGTTTTTAATACTGTGCTTACCCTTCTCACATAGTATTTGTTATTGCTAGAAAAGTAAAACATATGCAGTTTTGAGATTTTGGGGCATCATTGGCCTTAGATGTGTGATTTCTGCATTAAAATATGGGTTAGTAATCAGAGGAAAGCAGCCAGTAGCCTATGGCTTCTGTACTTCCTGGTGAAAGTTTTGTTAATGTTTTTAATTTGTATTTTTCTGCTTATAAATTTGTCCTTAGAAGAAATCACTCCTCTCCTTCCCGCCCCCCAACTCCTTCTCCCTCCTGCCCGCCCCCCCAACTCCTTCTCCCTCCTGCCCACCCGCCCCAACTCCTTCTCCCTCCTTCCCCCCCCACTCCTTCTCCTTCCTTCTCGCCCCGCAACTCCTTCTCCCTCCTTCCCCCCCCCGACTCCTTCTCCTTCCTTCCCCCCCACTCCTTCTCCCTCCTGCCCACCCCCCCAACTCCTTCTCCCTCCTTCCCCCCCTGACTCCTTCTCCTTCCTTCCCCCCCCCACTCCTTCTCCTTCCTCCCCCCCCCACTCCTTCTCCCTCCTGTCCGCCCCCCACTCCTTCTCCCTCCTGCCCGCCCCCCGACTCCTTCTCCCTCCTGCCCGCCCCCCAACTCCTTCTCCCTCCTTCCCCCCCCTGACTCCTTCTCCTTCCTTCCCACCCCCCGACTCCTTCTCCCTCCTTCCCGCCCCCCGACTCCTTCTCCCTCCTTCCAGCCCCCACTCCTTCTCCCTCCTTCCCGTCCCCTGACTCCTTCTCCTTCCTTCTCGCCTCGCAACTCCTTCTCCCTCCTTCCCGCCCCCTGACTCCTTCTCCTTCCTTGTTCATGAAAGATCCTAAATTAACCTAAATGGATCCTGCAGCTTTCAGGGATGAGTCACTGAGATCAGAATGTTGACGGTGTGTGATGGTACAAATCACATCAAGCACATGGGAACTGGGTCAAGATCCCTGGGCAGAGATTTTTATCCCAGTCTACTGCTCCTCTCCTCATTTTACTTTGATAGAAAATTAATTAATCAGAAGAAATGGGCACCACAGAAAAACAAGATCAAACAGGGTTTCCTTTATTGAGGCCAGGTAAAGTCAGCCGCCTTCACAGCGTAAATTCAAAAGTCAGTTCATTAGGCTGTGGAAAGCGGGTCAACCTGCAACTATCCCTGACTGGCAGTTTGTACATACAGAGGAAGCTGCTGACTTCTGAATTTATGCCGTCAACAAGCCTGGCTTTACCTGGCCTCAATAAACAAGATCTTGTTTTATGGTTTTCTTTTGGTTCCTCTCATTTACATTCATTCAGGTTCTGTGCAGATAATAGACGTACTAAGCTTATGTTTTAGCCCATCTTTTTTTTTTTTTTTTTTTTTTTTTGAGACGGAGTTTTCACTCTTGTTGCCCAGGCTGGAGTGCAATGGCACATCGGCTCACTGCAACCTCCGCCTCCCGGGTTCAAGTGATTCTCCTGCCTCAGCTTCCCAAGGAGCTGGGATTACAGGCGCCTGCCACCACGCCGGCTAATTTTTGTATTTTGTAAAAAAAAAAAATTTTTTTTGTATTTTTACAAAATACAAAATTTATCTCCTGACCTCAGATGATCTGCCCGACTCAGCCTCCCAATGTGCTGGGTTTACAGGCATGAGCCGCTGCGCCCGGCCAGTTTTAGCCCTTCTGATTGTCATTGAAGGCATATGGAACTCTGAGAGCTTTTCTAAACTTGCTTATGTCTTAATTTTTTTGACTTTTAAATTACGGACGTTTTCAAACACACACACAAATAGAAGGACTAGTGGAATGAATCTTCATGTTTCTTTTTCTTTTTTCTTTTTGTTTGAGACGTTGTCTCGCTCTGTGGCCCAGGCTGGAGTGAGTGGCGCGATCTCAGCTCACTGCAAGCTCCGCCTCCCGGGTTCACGCCATTCTCTTGCCTCAGCCTCCCGAGTAGCTGGGACTACAGGCGCCACCACCACTCCCAGCTAATTTTTTGTATTTTGTTTAGTAGAGACGGAGTTTCACCGTGTTAGCCAGGATGGTCTCGATCTCCTGACCTCGTGATCCGCCCGTCTCGGCCTCCCAAAGTGCTGGGATTACAGGCGTGAGCCACCGCGCCCGGCCGAATCTTCATGTTTCTATCAGCTGGTTTCCCTAATTTTCAGACTCATTCTATATCTGTCATTTTAAATACTTACAGTTCACGCAGATGTTTTTTCTCTTTGTTTGGAGTTTTACACCTTCATTAGAATTAGTCTTTTCTTATCAAGTCTCTTGCCCCGCTGAGAGGTGTTTGTTAGTTGGATTTGAATTTGCTTAGCAAACTCAGCAGACTTTTATTTGTTTATTTGCAGGTCTAGTGTGTACAAAGTCCTCTTGATACAGGGTTGTAGAAGTATGTGGCTAATTCTAAATCTCAAAATTGTCTGTCAAGGCAGAAAACTTCATCAGGTCAAAAGTCTTACTTGAAGAACATGCATATCTTTATCAAACTTGCACTTTCCCCGAAAGGTAAGGAGTCGGGGAGGATGAGACCGTTCTTAATCCTGAGAGTGTATTTCATTGTCTGGTGAGCTGACGGCTTTTTCTAATGGAAACTCATGATTAATGCCTGAAAAGTTGGCAGCTCGCATTTTGAACACTGGAGTTTCCGGCGGAAAAATGGTGTGTCTTTCCTGTCGGACCAGGTTCTCAATGCCGAACCTGCATCTGCTGCGTAAGCCTTAATTTTACTTGGAAAATTTGTTCTGTTACTCGAGACCTTTTGTAGTCATTTTCCCGGTCATTTCCCAGATATTCGTCCTTTTCACCGCACTTCTTAGCACCAGTGTTAGTCTGACTCTGAGTCTTAGCACCAGTGTTAATACACACGCACCCTAATAGCAATTGGGGTTTGATTGTGGAGTTTTCTGTATAAATATATCCTGTCCACTTATGAATTCATTTCCTGGCTGTAAAAACTGAGTCACATGAGCCATAGGAAGGAGGAATTTTTCTAGGGGTGGGTATCAAGGGGAACCTCATATCAGAAGTAGAAACTGACATCCATTTCAAAAGCGAGGATGGTGTTGGGAAACAGTGACATACAGCGGTCTAGAAAGGCCACTGGGGAGTGAGGGGTGTTGATTCCTCCAACCTCCTGAGGGAAATATATTAACCTCCTCTGGAGAAGGTTTTCAAAGGAAGTTGTTACCTGTGGAATACAGATTTCAGTTATATTTAGTAATTATAGTAGAGTTAGAATAAGAGCTTGATGTTTAAAATGTTTGTTTTGTACTAAATGTCATAGAAAGTGAGGGTAGGGATACTCCCAGAGTTTATCTAGAGGAGGGGATGCTGAGTGATAATCTG